TAAAGAGAATCACAGAAAAAGTTATTATTAATGAACACATAGGGTCAACTTACGTTATTCTACTATATTTTTGGTTTCCATTGCAGAGAATATATTATTAAAGTATGTAAATGAGATTATACATGTGGGGTTAATGAATCCCTTATAGTGGCAGTGCCAAGTGGTTGAACTAGGTAATATACTTGGAACGTGAGGATTTTTTTTAAAGGTTTATTTTATTTATTTATTTATTTATTTTTTTGACAGGCAGAGTGGACAGTGAGAGAGAGAGACAGAGAGAAAGGTCTTCCTTTGCCGTTGGTTCATCCTCCAATGGCCGCCGCGGCCGGCACGCTGCGGCCGGCGCACCGCGCTGATCCGATGGCAGGAGCCAGGAGCCAGGTGCTTTTCCTGGTCTCCCATGGGGTGCAGGGCCCAAGCACCCGGGCCATCCTCCACTGCACTCCCTGGCCACAGCAGAGAGCTGGCCTGGAAGAGGGGCAACTGGGACAGAATCCGGCGCCCCGACCGGGACTAGAACCCGGTGTGCCGGCACCGCAAGGCGGAGGATTAGCCTAGTGAGCCGCGGCACCGGTCAATATTTTATTTATTTGAAAGACAGAGTTACAGAGAGAGGTAGAGGAGGAGAGAGAGAGAGAGAGAGAGGTCTTTCATCTGTGGTTCACTCCCCAAATGGCCACAATGGCTGGAGTTGAGCCAATCCAAAGCCAGGATCCAGGAGCCTCCTCTGGATCTCCCACGTGGGTGCAGGGGTCCAGGGACTTGGGCCATTCTCTGCTGCTTTCCTAGGCACATTATCAGGGAGCTGGCCTGGCCCCAAGATTTTTTTTAGAAGGTAGTGATGTAAAAGTCAGACACCATGTGTTCTCCATTGTACTCTAGTCCCTGGCAGCAGAGTAGTTACTAATATTTGTTGAATGAGTAAGGGACAAAATAAGTGAAACTTAATGGTGATAAGGTTTTGTGGAAGTATGTAAACTTAATTATTGCTGAAAATACCATAGATAGAGTCAGTAAAGTTCATTGGAAAGAGCACTAGATCAGGAGTCAGAAAACCCTAGTAGTAATTCCAGATCTGATGGTGAATGAATGCCAAGTGATGTTAGCTGTGTGACTTCTCTGGATCACCTCATTTTCTTATCCATAAAAGGCACCATAAAATGCTTTATGGATGTCATTGTGCAAAATCAAGTTGTTTTTTCCATGCTTAGCATAGTGTCTTGAGCAGCTTATGTTAGCATAGGTGCAGGTTCTTCATAATAAAAAAAGGGCTAAGAAACAGTGTCTAAGACTAATTCTTGAAGTGGTACCAGAGTGCTGGGGGGTAGGAGGAAGTGTTACCTAAAAAAGAGAAGCAGAAACACCAGGGTGGAAAGACAAGCATTGTAAAGGTGCTTTATAGATGTGATTTCACTAAGCTTCGTTTATGCTGTCGGGGAAAAGGGTCATTAATACCTAACAAATAGTTTTTATCTAACTTCCTTCCTTGATTTGGGAAGTAAAAATGATTTTGGGTGGTTAAATAGTTCCTTTTGTAAGCTTAAAATTAAAGATTTTCACTTAGGTAGTTTAAGAATACTTAATCTTTGATTTTCTGTATTTTCTACAATAGCTATGAGTTGCTAATATTCTCATGAAAGCAGTAAAAGTCTAAAATTACTAAACCATGTTCTTATTTATTTATTTTATTTTTTTAAAGATTACTTATTTGAAAGGCAGAGTTAGAGAAAGAGAGATCTTTGATCTGCTGGTTCACTCCTCAAATAGCTGCAATAACCAGGCCTAGGCTGTGCCAAAGCCAGGAGCCAGGAGTTTCTTCCAGGTCTTCCACATGGGTAAAGGGGCCCAAGCACTTGGGCCATCCTCTATTGGTTTCCCAGGCTGTTAGCAGAGAGCTGGATTGGAAGTGGAGCAGTTGAGACTTGAAGTGAAGCCCATTTGGGATGCTGGTGTCACAGGCGGTGACTTAATTTGCTATTCCACAATGCTGGCCCCATTTATTTTATTTTTATCTTTTATTTGAGAGGCAGAGACCCAAAGGGAGAGACAGAGCCTCCATTCTCTGCTTCACTCTCCAAATGCCCCCAACAGCCCCTTGCTGTGGCCAAAGCCAGGAGCCAGCCACTCAATCCAGGTCCAAACCATGTTCTTAACTGCTTCTAGGACACCACTGTGATCTGGACACTGAGGATTGGATGTCACAGGAAGGGCCTAGGGTGAAATACGTCCAAGTCAGCTCTTAGCACATTACTGGTCAGTGAGATATAAAAATAAGTCGGAGGACTATGCCCTCTTCCCTCCTGCACCTGCACACAGTCAGTCCACAACTAGACCATGCGCTCCCTGAAGGCATGGCTCACCATTGTACCTCCAGCACATGGCAGAAGAATGTGAACTCCTGAAATGGCTGAGAAATCATAACTCCATTGGTTATTTCCAATAAAATGATTTTTAAAGTTGTGGCTATTGTTAGGGGTTGTTACTGTATTTTTGCTTATGTGGTACTAAGTGCTTAATTCCTGAGAGTGGCTCACCTGAAGAAAATCCAAAATGTGATACTGCTAATATGTACATTAAACTCAGAAATAATTTCTGTCACAAAATGGTCATTTGTGTGTGTGTTAAGGCAGATTATTTAAAATAGTAAGATACCTTAATGTGTTACAAATTTGGAAACTCAATTTTTCAGAAAAGAACAAATTGTGAAATGTAAGGTATGTCTGGGTAAACTTTACTGTAAGTGATCATATGTTGACTGCTTTTGGTGGGTTACTTATTAGTGGATTAACAGCGGATCCATGACTTTTCTTCTCATTAACACATTTATAAAAACCTAAAGACTCATAGAAGACAAAATTAAGTCATTTAATTATGTGAAATGCCATACAACGGGAAAGATGTGTGTGCTTGTGGGGAATGGGCTGGCTTTTGAAAATAATAGTTAAGGGGCCAGTACTGTGGCTCAGTGGGTTAACGCCCTGGCCTGAAGTGCCGGCATCCCATGTGGGCGCAGGTTCGAGTCCTAGCTGCTCCTCTTCTAATCCAGCTCTCTCATGGCCTGGGAAAGCAGTGGAAGATGGCCCAAGTCCTTGGGCCCCGGCACCCGTGTGGGAGACCTGGAAGAATCTCCTGGCTCCTGGCTTCAGATCGGTGCAGCTCTGGCCCTTGCGGCCAGTTGGGGAGTGAACCAGCGGATGGAAGACCTCTCTCTCTGTCTCTACCTCTCTCTGTAACTCTTTCAAATAAATAAAAATAAAAAAGATGAAAGTAATAGCTGAAATAAACTTGGATAAAATAATATAATGATAGTTACCTGTTTGAGCCTCTTATGTTAAATCTATTGTGTTTAGTATGGTGGCAATTGGCCACATGTAGCTATTTTAATTTAAATTTAAGTGAAATAAAATAAAAAAATTCGGCTCTTCAGTTGAAGTAGCCCTTGGTAGCCTGTGGCGAGTATTGAACAGTGCAGATAGGGAACATTGTTTTTCATTATCATAGAAAGTTTTCTGTTGGACAGTGTCTTCAATCAAATTTATTCTGAAAGTTGATGATTACAGTGAGGAGAAATTGGAACTCTTTGCCTTCTGGAATTCATAAGAAAGTTAACACTCTCTGTTGCCGAGTGGGGGCCGGCGGCAAACTTTTAAATTATATAGATTTCTTGCTGTGTTCTTATTTGATGTTCATAGCAGCCAGGTTTGGTCCATAGTGTTGTCTCCATTTTATAGATGGGATGAAGCCTGCAAGTAGAGGAACCATAATCTGAATGAATTTGTCTGACTTTAAATCATATATATATATTTGCTTTGGATCTCAAGGGTAGTATTGAATTGCTCATCATCTGTAGTTCCAAGTATTTTGTTATCAGTCATTCCTTCCATAGGCAACCACTTTAATGTGTTTGGTGTGTCTCTTTGTTTGCTGCTGCAAAATATTGTAGCATCAAGTTCATTAATTTTACATTCACATAGATGGTATTAATGCATAACCTAATTAAGACTTCCCTACACTACAGTGTCATTTGATGACTTAACCACCCAGCCTTCTTCTTTTTTTAAAAAAATTATTTATTTGAAAGGCAGAGAGACAGAGAGAGAGATCTCCTATCTGCTGGTTCAGTTCCCAAATACCTGCAGCAGCTGGGGCTGGACCAGGCTGGAGCCAGGAGCTGGGAACTCAGTCCAGGTCTCCCGCATGGGTGGCAGGGACCCAAGTTCTTGAGACATTATCTGTTGCTTCCCAGGGTATGTATTTTTAGGAAACTGGAATCAGGACCAAGCTGGCACTTGAACCCATCCACTCTGCTGTGGGAAACAGGTGTCCCAGGAGCTATGCCACCTTCTTTTCAAAAGTTTTATATGGTAGTTTTTTACCTGGTTGTTAGGCTTTTTGGTCTTTATGATTAGGGAGGTCTAAAAGAATCTTCTGTTTCCTCAAGGTGTGTGATAGAAGGATTATTTGTCTTTGAATACTTGCATATACTTTGTTGATGTTACCTTTGCTTGCTTCTTCACCAGTAGATGGTTAGTGATTACTTGTCACAGATATTGTTGTGTCTGAGTATTCCATCAGCTTTTTCTTTAATTGAAATCTTATTGGCCTACTTACAGATTCCCATACAAATGTAGTTGTAAGAAGCAATGTAGAGTTCCCTTGTATATGGTGCCCAAGTGCAGCTGCTCTTTATGCTCTCATTTCTATGTCGCTTGGAAGGGGAGTAGACAGGGCTGTTAGTTAGGGCTTCAGGCATGCTCTTCTGAATGCAGTATATGAGCTTCTAGCTTGTGGACCTGATTTTAGCTGCTTTTTTGCTTAATATCTAGTATGTGTTTCAAATAGTGAAGGTATGATATAGCCAAGTTTTGGGTAAGTAATTCAGAATTGATTTTCTTGGACTTAAATTGAATTTTTATACAAGTACTCTTGAAAATAATTATACAAATTGGAATCTTAACTCTTGGTAGTGATGAAATGCTTCTGTGTATGTTTTGTTTTAGGTTGTTTCACGAAGAAATCCAGAGGATGTCCAGGAGGTAACATTTTATCCATATGGAAATTTAATTTTATATATGTGATAACACATTTAATTAGATGGTTTATTGAGGAAACTGCCTGAATCATGTGTATGTCAGTCTTCGTATGTGTGTGTGAAGACATTCTTCAGCTCACAAAACAGTAGCTGAAGTGTCCTGTTTTCAGACCTGCTAAGTAGATATTTGGTCTTAGTAGGTGTAGATTTATGTAAATAAGATTTGAAGGATTACAGTGCTGCTTAAAAGTGATGATTATTCTGGTAATTAATACTCATAAGATTTCAGTATTAAGGGCCCCTGTTTACCCATTTCAAAAGCATGATGCCTGTTTAATAAAATGAAGTGTCTTACAACTGAAATTACCTTAAAGATTATAATAGTAAAAGTCAAATAGTAAATATTTAATCACAGTAAGTAAAAGTAAAATAGTAAAAGCAGACTCTGTGTACTTCCACTTTTATGTTGAATTGACATGTTGGCATCTTGGAAAACTATGTTAGGTGTAGATATTTCTTTTTAACTTTTTAAGTTAGTCATTCTTTTGCAGGTTCCTTTTCTCATTTTTCCCTTCCCTTTTTCTAAAATGATAGCAATCTGATACGTGTTTTGCATACAACTGTGAAGTCTCTATATATTATTCCTCTGGGCTTGCTTATCTTTAGGAATCCTTACCGAGGACCATGCTTCTTTTAATGCTTCTTGATTGATTTTCATTTTGGTCCCTGCTTATTTGCACTAAGACTAGAAAGACATATTTGTATATTGGGGATTTTCTTTCTTTTTTTCTTTACCTCACTTGTGTTTAAAACAATTGGTATAAATTTACAATCTCGATTTTGCAACAATTTTTTTTCCTCCCCCAATTGAATTTGACTATCTCTAGATGGAATATGTACTTTTTATTTAGCTGCAGGCCCACTGAACAGAACTGACTTGATTCATGCATTTAAGTTGTCTGTTTGACACTGATTGGTTTAGATAACATTTAAACTTTGTGCATTACCATTGCTTGATGAGACTGATCTGATATTTGTTTTTATCCCATGATTAAAAAGCTCAATAAAAGATAGATCTTTAAAAGATTTCCTATTGTTTTCTTCATGATTTTTAAATATCTTGCTTCCCCCCCCCCCCCCCCCCCAACAATCAGGAAGAATGTAATATTGTTATTTTGGAAAAAGAAGATACATATGCTGGTGAAAATAGTTTGCACCATTGTTTAATTAAAGTACTCTAATTAAGTATCAGTTGATTAGTATGAACTGTTTTTTAGAGTTTTACTAATTATGTTAAACTAATTAACATAATTTATTGAGTCAACACCAAACAACAGGCTATTCTGTTTTTGAAGATTTGCAGCACTGTGAAAATTGAAATCGGTTGTGTCTCCTTTGAAAACGTTGCTTGATTGATGTGTTGTAGTTTGTAGCTTGATGTTCCCCTTTTCCAGGGAGAATCCTGAACCAACCTATCCATGAACATACTCTCTGCCATTTCCTTAATCCTTTTGGGGTGAAACTCTTTTATAATAAGAACTGTTGGTGAACCATTCATCAGAAAACTCTTGTAAGTGTCCTTTAGTTAGACAATTGCATGGTCCTTTGTTAGAGATGATGTTACTTTTAAAGTCTTCTATCTACTTGGCTTCTTAAAATGTAGAATAACCTGGGAATTATAGCAATTTTTTTTTCTTTTTTAGATTCCCCCTTATTTCATTTAAATACCAGAATTCTTTTTTTTTCTTTAAAGATTTATTTATTTATTTGAAAGGCAGAATTACAGAGAGAAAGAGAGAGAGAGAGAGACAGAGAATATCTTTCATCCACTGATTCACTCCCCAAATAATTGCAATGGCTGTAGCTGGGCTGATTTGAAGCCAGGAGCCAGGAGCTTCTTGCAGGTCTTTCACATGGGTGCAGAGGCCTAAGTATTTGGGCTATCCTCTGCTGCTTTCCCAGGTGCATTAGCAGGGAGCTGGATCAGAAGTGGAGCAGCTGGGACTTGAACTGCTCCCTATGGGATGCTGGTACCGCAAGTGGCAGCTTTACCCGCTATGCCATAGCACCAACTCTTAAACACTGGGGTTGAAATGTAGGAGAGAAATTCACCACTTCCCACTTCCTTTTCTTTCACTTTCTTTCTCCATTAACTAATTGATTTAGTTATTGCTTTTAGAATGTAGTCAGGGAGTTTGTGGATTAAAAAGGATTCCATAGCCTAGGCAGCTCATGTTAAGAGCCTCGGGTGGTCACTGATGTCATACATGAGAGTGTTAATTGTTAAATTAACAACAGGGGTCACTGTGCACTAACTCCCTGTGTAGGAGCTCTGTCCCCAATGAATTGTATTATGAGAGTTAACTGTGATACTTGTTCTCAAACAGTTTTGTGTGTGTGCAAATTGTTGAAATCTTTACTTAGTATAGAGTTGGTCTTCTGTGTACAAAGTTAATTGAAAATGAATCTTAATGGAGAATGGGACTAGGAAGGGGAGAGGGAGGAGAAGAGGGGTGGGAGTGTGGGAGGGAGGACGGGTGTGGTGGGAAGAATATATTCCTAAAGTTGTACATATGGAATTTGTATTCCTTAGAAAATTAATTAGTTGTGGCTCATTAGGCTAATTCTCCGCCTGCGGCGCCAGCACCCTGGGTTCTAGTCCTGGTCGGGGCACCAGATTCTGTCTCGATTGCTCTTCTTCCAGTCCAGCACTCTACTGTGGCCCGGGAGTGCAGTGGAGGATGGCCCAGGTGCTTGGGCCCTGCACCCATATGGGAGACCAGGAAGAAGCACCTGGCTCCTGGCTTCGGATCGGCACAGCACGCCGGCCGCAGTGCACAGGCCGTAGTGGGTGACCAACGGAAAAGGGAGACCTTTCTCTGTCTCTCTTCTCTGTCTAACTCTGCCTGTCAAAAAATAAAAAATAAATAAAAAATAAAAAATAGAAAATTAATTAGTTAATTAAAAAAAAGAATGTAGTCAGGCTTCACATAGGCTATTGAGGACTAGTAGATGTACTGTTAATCCAACCAAATACAGGTCCAGTAAAATATGAGGAATTTTGGGTGCTTTTCCTTTATATGTACCTTGGCACATACCATCATATCTCAGTCTTTCTTCCTAAGAATGCTTAAAAAAAACCCCAGAAATACTTATTTGGAGTAAATACATTATCTAGGGTAGCTTTCTTTTTCTTTTAAAATTCCCTGTATAAATTTGTATTTGATAAGAATAACATGGATTAATCTGCAGGGGGACAGCAGTGGCCTCTTTTTCAGCTTTTTCTCTAGAACATAAGCAATCTGTAGAAGGATAAAGAGATAGTGTGGCAGTGCCCTCCATCCCCACCCCTTTAAAGAAAAGTAATCTGGGGCTGGTGCTGGTGCTGTGGCGTAGCAGGTAAAGTTGCCACCTGCAGTGCTGGCATCCCACGTGGGTGCCAGTTTGAGCCCTGGCTGCTCCACTTCTGATCTAGCTCACTGCTTATGTGCCTGGGAAAGCAGTAGAAGATGGCACAAGTTCTTGGGCCCCTGCACCCATGTGGGAGACCCAGAGGAGACTCCTAGCTCCTGGCTTCGAATTGGCCCGGCTGTGTCCATTGTGGCCATTTGGGGAATGAACCAGCAGTTGGAGGACCTCTCTCTCTACCTCCGCCTCTCTGTAACTCTGCCTTTCAAATAAATAAATATTTAAAAAATAAAGAAAAATAACCTATGCCCATCTTTCAATAGGTAGCATATTTCACTGGTGAGATTTGGGAAGGGAACAGGACTATACTGGAACGTCCTATGTCTCTTGTCAGCAGCTTCTAACTTTTAATCCCTTTCATAGTAAAATAGTTTTAGAGATAGGTACACAGAGATATAAAAGGAAAGAAAAAACTCTTGAAGAGAGAGGAGAAAGCTCGTAAGCAAATACAAGTATGGTGGTAATGTTGGTTACAAGAAAAGATGATCCAACAAATTTTTAACTATGAGAGTAGAAGGGACAAATTTTGAATTGGATAATTTTGTAAAATTCAAGGATCAAGAATCTTTGTTATCATTAAGTGTAATTGAAAAGGAAACATATTAGGTAAAAAAAAATTTTCAGGGAATGCTTTAAAGCCAAAATTGAAGCTTTTATTAAATTTGTGGTCTACATATGATTGTCATTGAGTTAATATCTCATTGAAAGATTATCTTCAAAGTGTTTTTAAAGAGTAACATTTATGCAGTTGGCTCACTAAATCGACAAGGAATGGGAAAATATTGGACATTCATTAGAGAAAATAATTTTTCTTGTGTCTTTGGGTACTTTGTGTCACCCAAAAATAATCATCAGTCCTTGGAATTAATTGTACTTTTGTTCACTTTTTCCTTTTGAAGATTTCTGGAAACTTGTAATCTTAAAAAGGGTACGAAGGAAAAGAGGCACTGGATAACACCATTTTGCAGTGCTCTTTGGTATTTTTTGTTCAGTCCAAGTGCTGAGAATAAGGAATATGTGAGTGAATAAATTAGGGCATAGTGAAGAAAAGTAGACCATCCCCGTGGGGGTTCTAATTCTTCCTCTTGCAGACTGCCTTCCAGTTTATATACCCCAGTCTTTTAATCATTACTTAAATGGTTAAATTCTGTCCGTCGCGGTACTCATTCTATTTTTTTTTTTTTTGACAGGCAGAGTGGATAGTGAGAGAGAGAGACAGAGAGAAAGAAGGTCTTTCTTTGCCGTTGGTTCACCCTCCAATGGCCGCCATGGCTGGTGTGCTGCGGCTGGCGCACCGCGCTGATCCGAAGGCAGGAGCCAGGTACTTATCCTGGTCTCCCATGGGGTGCAGGGCCCAAGCACTTGGGCCATCCTTCACTGCCTTCCCTGGCCACAGCAGAGAGCTGGCCTGGAAGAGGGGCAACTGGGACAGAATCCGGCGCCTTGACCGGGACTAGAACCCGGTGTGCCGGCGCTGCTAGGTAGAAGATTTGCCTAGTGAGCTGCGGCGCCGGCCGCAGTACTCATTCTTAAAAAGGATTTTAACTAGATATGAATTTTATCTGTAAACTTAGAATGTCTTTTTTTAAAAAAAATGTATCTATTTATTTGAAATGCAGAGTTACACAGAGAGAGAAGAAGCAGAGTGAGAGAGAGAGAGCGAGAGAGGTCTTCTATCCGCTGGGTCACCCCTCAATTGGCTGCAATGGCCAGAGCTGTGCCGATCTGAAGCCAGGAGCCAGGAGCTTCTTCTGGGTCTCCCACGCAGGTGCAGGGGCCCAAGGACTTGGCCTATCTTCTGCTTTCCTACACCATAGCAGAGAGCTGGATCAGAAGTGGAGCAGCCGGGACTTGAACCGGTGCTCATATGTGATGCTGGCACTGCAGGCGGCAGCTTTTCCTGCTATGCCACAGTGCTGGCCCTGAAAATTTTTTTTAAAAGACTTACTTATTTATTTAAGAACAGTTACAGAGAGCAAGAGAGATCTTCCACCCTCTGGTTCACTCTCCCAATGGCTGCAATAATCAGGGCTGGGCCAGGCCAAAGCCAGGAACCAGGAGCTTCTTCCAGGTCTCCCATGTGGGTGCAGGCTGCGCCATAGCACCAGCCCCTAGAAAGTTTAAAAAAGAAAAATTATCTTAATTTTCATTTGAAAGGCAGAGAGAGAGCTAGAAAGAGGTCTCCTATTTGCTGGTTCACTCCCCAAACGCCCTTAACAACCAGGATTGTGCAGGTTGAAGCTGGGAGCCTTGAACTCAATCTGGGTCTCCCATGTGGGTGGTGGGGTTTATTTCATCCATTATCTGCTGCTTACCAGGGAGTGCTTTGACAGGAAAATAGGAATTAGGAACAGAGGTGGGACTGAACACAGGCACTCCCAATATGGGACGTATCCTATGTGGCATCTTAACCCTGTGCCAAATACCCACCCCTTATCTGCAAATTTGATTATTTCCATAAGGTACTGTCTTTTCAAAAGCTGTCACATCCAATGGCTTTAAACCTTATGTAATGTTCAGTTCATAATGACATTTACCTTATATAACATAAATCCATTACCCATTTTCCCTTGAAAATTTAGTTCTACCATAATATGTTTCAAAAATATGAATGTAACATTGTTTTTCCTCATGATAAAATTATCATACAACTAAATTAGAAACTACAGACAAGCAAAAAATATGATAATTAAAATCACCCAAACCTCACAATCCTGGGCCCTTTTTTACTTTTCAGCTGTTGGCTTGATCTTATTAGTTAGATCTTTTCACCCTTTCACTGGTACTGTTGGTTTTATGCTTTCGCATGTCTCATCCACTTCCATTTTATCATAAAGTCTCTTCTTGTATCCCAGTGGCCCATCTCTTGTCCCAGCCAGACTTCTCAGCACTTTGCAGTTGGTCTCCTCCTCCTTCATTCTGCCTGGTCATCTGGTCTTAGAGGCCCCTGGCATTCCCTTGTTAATTTTTTTTTAACCTCATTACACACATGGGGAAACGTTTCCTGAGTGATTACAGCTGTCTTCTGATTTCTCACAACTCAATAGATCTTGCTCTGTTTTTGCTCTTAAACCCCAAACTCACCTACCTTTTTTTTAAGATTTATCTTACAGCTGGCACCGCGGCTCACTAGGCTAATCCTCCGCCTAGCGGCGCTGGCACACTGGGTTCTAGTCCTGGTTGGGGCGCCGGATTCTGTCCCAGTTGCCCCTCTTCCAGGCCAGCTCTCTGCTGTGGCCAGGGAGTGCAGTGGAGGATGGCCCAAGTGCTTGGGCCCTGCACCCCATGGGAGACCAGGATAAGTACCTGGCTCCTGCCTTCGGATCAGCGTGGTGCGCCGGCCGCAGCATGCTGGCCGCGGCGGCCATTGGAGGGTGAACCAACGGCAAAGAAAGACCTTCTTTCTCTCTGTCTCTCTCTCTCACTATCCACTCTGCCTGTCAAAAAAAAAAAAAGATTTATCTTACTTATTTTAAAGACAGAGTTACAGAGAGAGGTAGAGCCAGAGAGAGAGAGAGGTTTTCCATTCCTCTGGTTCACTACCCAAATGACCGCAACGGCCAGAGCTGAGCTGATCCGAAACCAGGAACAACTTCTGGGTCTCCCATGTGGGTGTGGGGGCCTAAGGACTTAGGCTGTCCTCTACTGCCTTCCCAGGCCACAGCAGAGAGCTGGATCAGAAGTGGAGCAGCCAGGACTTGAACTGGTGCCCATATAGGATGCCGGCACTGCAGGCTGGGATTTAACCCATTGTGCCATAGCACCATCCCCAAACCCGCCTATCTTATTGAACACATTCAATGAGATGCCTCACAAACACCTAAATTGAATATGTTTAAGACTGATTTTTTTTTAAGATTTATTTTATTTACTTGAAAGGTAGAGTTACAGAGAGGGAGATACACGAACACACACACAAACACAGAGAGAGAGACAGAGAGAAAGCAAGAGAGAGAGGGATATCTTCCATCTGCTTGTTTATTCCCCAAATGGCTGCAACAGCTAGGGCTGGGCCAAGCTGAAGCCTGGAGCCTGGAACTCCATCCAGGTCTTCCATGTGGGTTTCAGGGATCCAAGCATTTGGACCATCCTGTGCTGCTTTCTCAGGTGCATCAACAAGGAGCTGGATCAGAAGTGGAAGAGCCAGGGACCAGCCCTAATGTGGGATCCTGGTGGTAGCTTAATTTGGGGTATCACCATGCTAGCCCCTAAATTGAACATCTTTCTTGCTTCAAAGCTGCTGTTTTCTTTTCTGTTCTTCGTCCCAGAGAATGGCAGCTTCACTTACCCAGTGGCAAAAGTCAAAATTCTAGTAAAATATATGAGGTATATTTCTCTCCTTTGAGTAACTTTGTCCCCATTCTCCACTCTCCCATTGTTTTGTCTGGCTGATGACCTTTTCCCTCTGGACTCTCAGCTGAGATAATACTTTCTGTAAAGTCTTCTCAGGTACCCAAGGCTGGTTTAGACTCTTCTAGAACACTGTTGGGCTGCTCCTCAGTATTTATCAAGCCATCTATCATGCATCTCTTACTTTGGTTAATTCTTCCAAACTAGAGTATGAGCCTTTGAAGGGAAGGACTGTGGTTCTCATCTGCTGCAGCATTGGTGCCACCACAATGCTTAGCACAAAGTAAGGCCGAAAAAATACTTGTTTTGGAGATTGTTTTTCTGGTTGAATAAATGAATAATGAAAGGGAAGCATGAGGAAGAAGCAATTCGTTTAAATTAATTCGTATTATGGTCTGCCTAGCCTCCTCAGTCTATAACTGTACTAGACAAAAAGCCCTACTCATCAAGGTAGAATTTTTGGTACCATGACAGAGTTTGACAAAGGATTTCGATATATACAGAGAACAGGTTTTTTGGTAAGATTCCTTAAGCAACCTTTGTGGCCTATTATTTGCTCAGTAAACTATGTTGTATATAAACAAACTTAGAGTTTGTTAAAGGTGAGATGATTGGATTATGTGGAAGCTAAGGTCCCAGTATACCAAGAAATGAAATTTAGAACTCAGTTTTACCTTATTTTGTGGAGAATGAGGGACTGGCTCAGTGATAGCAAGGTCATATGTCAAGTTCTTTTTCTTTACTGTTTTCCAGTTTAATATGAGTAAATTTGAACAGTAATTCGTGAATTATTAGTGTTATCTAGATATTATCATTTTGTGTTTTGCAGTGTACTAGTTTCAATGATCTGATCAGTAATCACCTTGTCCTCAGAATTCATATTACAGGTTTAAATTGAGTTTTATAAAAGAAAGGTCTATGAAATACAATAGTTCATGTTAATTATTTACTACATAGTCATTTCTTCTTCAGTATTACTTAAGTTATCTTTTTAGGCAAATGCTGAGTGTGTCCTTTGTGTTTAAAAATTTGCTAAATTAGTAATTTTGTGTTCTTAAGCATGCTCTGTTGAGAATGAATACATGTTTTTCACATTGAGCTCATTTCCAGACAAATAGCAATTAGGTTTTGAAGAGATCAAGTTACTGAATACTTGTCTAGTATGAATAAAACTGTATTTGTTAAATTTAAAAACCCAAACAGAATTACTACATTTTTAAGGCAAATTTTATGAATTAATTCCAGACAGTTATCTATATTGGTTAGAATATCTGTTTGCCTTTGACAGTTTTGAATGCTTTAATGAAAAGATTATTTGATGTTCAGAATGGTTTTGCTATAAGATACACGCTTAATATTTTTTCTCTTTTTAGATAATTGTATGGAAGAGATACAGTGATTTTAAGAAACTGCATAAAGAGCTGTGGCAAATTCATAAAAACCTATTTCGACATTCAGAGTTGTTTCCTCCTTTTGCAAAAGGAATAGTGTTTGGTAAGTGCTATTTTGAAATTGCAATTTAATAAAGGTGATGATTAGCTAATTGTGTGAGTCTACTCAACTCTCGCCCAACTCCATACACTGCGAAGTCAGTGACCCTTTTACTTAAGATGGTTTATATTGTTTAGCAAACACTTGCAGTTGTTTCTTTATGATCTTAATATAGCTATTGACTAAGTCTGAACTGTTAGATTCCTGATGTTTCTGAGACTGATCAAATAAAAAACATCTGTATTTGATAAGATTTAATTATGTATTTGATATAGAAAAGGTAAGTGGAAAATATAGGAAAAAAACACAAAAATGATCACAACAATTTAAAAACACTCAAGGATAAACACAGTTATATGGTTCATAGTTTGGATTATGTTCTACCAATGTGGTTTGTGTGAGAGGTCTTCAAAAAGTTCATGAAAAGTACATTTAATGATGGCACTATGTATAGATTTCAAAATACTTTTGAGCCAAAAAAAGCATTTATTAAAAAAATACTTTCATTTATTTGAAAGACAGAGAGAGAAAGGGAGAGCAAAAGACAGAGATCTTCCATCTGCTGGTTCATTCTGCCTGCCTGCACTAGCTAGGGCTGGGCGAGGCTAAAGCCAGGACCCCAGAATCAATTCTGGTCTCCAACAAGGAAGGCATGGACCGCAAGCTCCTTTGAGCCACCATCTGCTGCCTCCCAGGATGTGCACTAGCAGGAAGCTGGGCTTGGAAGCACAGCTAGAATTTGAACCCAGGCACTCTGATGGGGGACACTTGCAGTGGATATTGGAGACTCTGACCTAGAGCACCTGCAAAGCCATTTTTGGACTTGTGACCCTCAAGGACTGTGTGAGATAGTCAATGTTCCTTGTAGGCTACTCTCTGGTTTGAGAGTAACTTTTTACATAATAACTGGCTAATAGATTTGGTTACCTAGAAGTGGGTGCTCTCACGAAAAGATTGAAAATGGGGAGAGAGCTTTTGGAATGAGCATGGGCCTTGAGATGATTGGTAGTGAGTGCCTGAATACTCAAAGAAGTGATTAATAGACCCCTTGTGGGCCATAGTGAGCATTTGCAAGGAAGTTGGGTAAATGCAGGCGTACACCTTCCGGATAGGTTAACGCCGGCGAGACCTCGGAGACACCAGACGCGTTTATCGGCTTTTCAGCTTTCACTTTATTTTTCAGCAGACTCGCGTTACATGTCGCGAACGCCCGCCCTGTCACTGGCATTCATTCACAACTCCTTCATTCACCACTCCCGCTTACTACTCGCATTCATTCACAGCTCCCGCCTGTTACCGGCGTTCATTCATAACTCCGTCCTGTTTCCGGCGTTCATTCTTAACTCCACCTTTTACCGGCGTTCATTCATTCACTCTGCCCTTTTACCGGCGTTCATTCATTCACTCCGTCTTTTTCCAGCGTTCATTCATTCCTCCGTTTTTTTCCAGCGTTCATTCATTCCTCCGTCTTTTACCAGCGTTCATTCATTCCTCCGTCTTTTACCAGCGTTCATTCACTCACTCCCGCCCACCGTCCACCTATTTATATATATCATTCACGGAAAACATGTTACCAACTAAGTGTGGGAAACATGCAATAACAGGATGCTTAAAGTCAAAACAGGATCTTGCAATTAGCAACGGGCAGGGTGGAAAAAGCCCAGCACTAAACTTCTTGTCGGGAGCGGCACAGCTGGCCAGGCTGTCCCGTTCCCCGACATCTCCCCCTTATTTCTTTGCCAAATGGAGTGGTACTGTGCCTGTCTTAGGTGACCAAGAGCATCTATCGGGCTTACCCGTCATTGGCACATGAACATGAGGTGTGGAGGGAGCGTTCATGCCCTGTCTTAGGTTGCCTTGAAGACCTCTCAGAACTTACCCGTCTTTGACTACCATTCCAGCAGATTCAGCCACACCTGAATCTGTCCATTTTGCATGGGGTACTGGTTAGCTGGCTTGTTTAACCACCATTTGCGTATTAACAGCCCTTGCAAGATCCGAACAATAATTGATCCTGTTATTAACATGCTACCCAAAAGACGGGAACACAAACTGCAGTAGATCGAATAACACAGGGTATGCCAACCAGGCCTAATCTTGCAATAAATCCGTTCATTAACAGCTGAATAGTAGTATACCATCAAGTGCCTGGGCGGTAGATCTTGTGATGCTATCAAGTGTGGACAGTGTGGAGGTTTGGCTCACGGCCATGCCAATAGCGGCCTAACAAGCTGATAACGCCGCAATTACTGCAACGACGACCACGGTGACTCCAAAGTCTCTCCTGTGTTGAACAGCCATAGAGAAGTCCTTCTCAGGCAAATACACAACTGGAGAGGGAGAGGTAGGGCTCTCAAGAGACCCCAATACTCATCCAGCTTGGCCATCGTCGGTGACAGTGGCGTCATTATTAGTAGGAGTAGGATCACGATCATCTTGCCACTCTATTGTTCTTGTCCGTCTTTCTGGAGTCCAGATTGGATTTTTTTCTTCCTGTGGGAGAAAACAAACAGCGCCTCGTACCCTTCTTATTAAAGGGTATGGGCCTTTCCATTTGTTATCTTGTGGGTCTTTCCACATAATCATTTTTCTAACGTGTGGCTGAGCTTCTGTCGGTTCATGGGGTTTATTACTATTGGGGGTCTGTTCCAAGATTACATGACGTTCTGCCGGGGTGAGACCATCAGCTTTTTTATTTAAAAAATTTATGGTAAGTAAGGCGAGGTTGAGAATGTCTTTAGGGGAACGGGATAGTGCCCCTATTCCCCCTTTTTGTTTTAATACAAAGTTTTTCAGATACAGATTAGTGCGTTCCACAACGGCTTGTCCAGTAGGGTTATATGGGATGCCGGTTAAATGAGAGATATGAAAAGTTGCTAAAAACTCAGCAAAAGCCTTAGAAGTATAAGCAGGTCCATTATCAGTTTTTATTATATTAGGAATTCCCCAAGAAGCAAAACATTGTAACATATGTTGCATTACATGGGAGGTGGACTCTTTGGTGGTGGCGGTAGCCATAACTACTCCTGAGTAAGTATCCACCATAACATGGACACAGGATAGCTTGCCAAAGGCAGGGATATGCGTTACATCCATTTGCCAAATGTGACATGGATAAAGGCCCCAGGGATTAGCTCCAGTGGGCATAGTAACAGGCTGATGAATAGCACATTTTTCGCAATTTTGGACAATAGATTTAGCTTTACGAATAGGGATATTAAACCTCATACTTAAAGTCTTACTATTAACATGCCAAAGTTTGTGATATTCTGTTGCCTGTTCCATGGCAGTGCAAGCTAAAAGGAAGCGGGAATGTTGATCCGCAAGGGCGTTTCCCACGGTGAGAGGACCTGGCAGGGAGGTATGTGCTCTAATATGGATGATAAAAATGGAATCTGATCTCCTAAATAAAGAGTGCTGAACAAGCTCAAAATAAGGAAACACTGTAGAACTTTTGGATATTAACGAAGGGGAGCCTAGCCTCTTAACAGCATTAACATCATATAAGCTATCAGAAACGATATTAAGAGGACCCTCAACCATATTTAATAACTTAGCCACTACAGCTAGCTCTGCATGTTGAGGTGAGGGAGATGCAGTAACTGCATGATGCACCTGACCTTGTAAAATAGCCACCCCGGTACCTCCTTTTGCTCCATCAGTAAAAGCTATGGGTGCTTTGGGAATGGGATTAGAATAAACTCTTTTAAAATAGTGTAAGGGTACCGTGTCGCAAAATCTAATAAAGGGATGATTGGGATAATGGTTATCTACACTTATGTCAAGGGTGATGGTGATGTGGGACCATTGCCAAGTTTCCTTAGCCCACTCCTGAATGACTACAGACTCTAACGGAAGAATGCAGGACTGTGGTCTTCTCCCTGCAATTTCTATGACTCGGTGGATGGCTTGTAAAACTAAATTTCCCATAGCCTCCGCATAGGAGGTAATAGATCTGGGCATATGGTTATGTGGGTATATAAACAACAATGGTCCTTCTTGCCAGAGTAAAGCATAGGGATAATGACTTTGTATGAACACCAAAATATTTAAGGGCATAGTGGGGTCACACCGCTGCATAGCAGTGCTCTTAAGGCGCTGTTCAAAATTTTTTAATACTGCTTTTGCCTCCTTTGTAAGTTGTCTGGGTGAATTTAGGCATACATCGCCTTCCAGAAGTCGGAACAAAGGGTGCATTTCTTCAGTAGTCATTTTACAATAAGGCCGAATCCAGTTTAAATTTCCACACAATTTTTGTAAGTCATTTAAGGTTTTAACATGATGAGTGGAGATGATGGGGGTTAAAGAACTCTGCCCAATTTGGTTTCAGGCGCCGCCGTGGGTGGGGAGTTGAATCCCCAGTATTTATAAAAAAAGCGGCTTCATCGTCATTACGAGCACTTTCGTTTTCAAGCATTTGCCTTCTAGTCTGTTTCTCCGGCCCAGATTCTAAAACTATGGGCCTCATCTCGCTGGAACCATTGCCGGCAAAACAGCAACAGCGCATAGAATGAGGGGGTGGTTCATAAGGAGGAGCGGAGGGCATTAAGGGCAACTCCGAGTATAGTGGAAGCGATCCCAGCGTCTGCGAATGTTTCGCTTTTGGTCGGGCTCCTCCGCTTGCTTCCATCCTTTGTTCCTCTATACTATCTCCCTTTTCGCTACTATCATGGGAGTCTTCGCTGAGCTCCTCCAGTAGTTCAGAGCCTTCATCTAAGAGTTCCCAGATCTGGTCATCCTCCGACCGTAAAGCAGTATCTATCAGATACCACAAGCGGATCACTCCCTCCTCGACTCCAGCGTTTTGCAATTCACGTCCCACCCGTCTCCACCGAACCTGTGATAAATCTCCTTCTTCAACAAACCAAGGACAAGTTTTATATAGTATCCTCGTAAAATTGCACACAGCTACACTCTTTACGGGCGTCCCCGTTGCCTTTAAAAGGCGGCTAATCAATAGGTGCATTTTCGTGGTGGACTGTGTGTTCCCCATTGTACCGCAG